TCCTAAATTACGTTTAATTATGATTCAAAAATTGTTAAGCAGTGAAGGTTAGGCTCAATGGCCCCTTGGGTCTTAGTTGAATTTAAGTTAATTTAATATAATAAATAAATTATTTTATTATATTATGAACTAATAAATAAATAAATTTTATTATTATAGAATCAATATGAGTTAATTAAAAATAGATAATTACATTAATAATAAAGAAAGTAAAAAATATTATTTCACATATTACTATTTTTTTATTAATTCTTAATTATTTATTAATAAAATTATTATTTGATATAAAAGTAGTTTAATATTTTTTAATAATTTATTAATTTCATAAATGTTAAATATTTTAATATTTTCATTATATATAATTTTTAATCTAATGTTTATAATTAATTTTGCATTTAAAAACATATATCACTACTTATTTAGATCTCAGCACTACCATTATTTTTAATCTAATTGAAATCAATTTTATTATTCCTCCAAATAGATCCTTAATCTAATAATGTTAATAAGCTACTTTTCAGATATAACAAAGAACTGATTCTTTTGCAGGTTCCAAAACTTGCCTTCTTAATTATTTTTAATTTCTTCAACCAGCAATGGGTTTTTTTTTTTGTTTTCAAAAATCACAATGCAAAAACGTATAAACACGTCCCTTTTACTACCATAGTCAAAATAAAAACTAGTTAGGTAGATGATTAAGAAGTAGTCCCGTTGCAGGGCCGGGAACCTGTGGGAATTTTTGTGAACCAGAGCTCGTCAATGGCCGGTGGCTAGCTTTTGTTAGGTTCTTTCCAAGAAACAACGAAATAGAATAGATTCGTCATTTTCCAAGAAACTTTGAAGCTTCAATGTTAAATGCTTCCAGGCTCAGCTACCAACATTTGAAACGTATGTTATGATTGACTATGGGAGTCTAGCTTGCATTTTTCAAAAGGGGTCCAAATTTTCTTTCAAACGTGATGTAATACTCAAAAGGAGAATTATATTGGTCAAGTATAACATCATATGATGAACATTTATGACAAATTTTTCAAAGAAAATCTGCACTTATTCGGGTCGTGATCTTATCATCAATGTAAAAAGTAACCGAGATTGTTGAACACTTTGACAGATTATACATTCGTTAAGGCTGGCGTAAGCATATTGACAGAAGAAACAACTTGTTGAACAATGTATTAAGTTCTTCTTTGAAGGCCTGGTAATTATGATTATATTGGGTCTTCTTTTTCTAATGAAATATGCACTTTCGTGATATAATGCTGATTGACAACATTGAAGGTTAAGACACATTATTTGAATCTGTACTATTGCAATAACCAGTTCACATTCAAATATGCAGAAATTTGGGACTTTTCTTCAGCCTGTGATATTATATTTTGACTCGGTAACTAGCAGATAGGCAATCATTCTTCACCACGAGTTCATATATATTTTGTTGAAAATTAAGCAAATTAAGATGAAATTAATGAATTTCATAACATATAAATCTATAAATCTATAATTAAACTTAATAAAATGAGTAAACACTAATTTTTTATCAAGGTGTGATTGGACACTTAATAAATTTATCATTTTAAAGAATTTTTAAGTTTGACTGAAAGTCCCTAAAAAAATAAAATTTCGATTTGCTAATTATAACAAAATTTGAGAGTTCGATTACCTATTGAGAAAGTTATAGTACTCCCTCGTGCCTATCCAAAAGAAAGTATCATTTTATTTTAAATTATCTTAAAGTCTTGATTCTAATGATCTTAAATTTTAGTATTAAATATTGAAAATAACTTTTAAGATTATTCATCAATATGGTAGAATTTTTTAAAATACGTTTTCACTTTAAGAGTATTTAAAAATCTCATTTATTTTTTTAAAAATAACTTTTAAGATTATTCATCAATATGGTAGAATTTTTCAAAATACATCTTTACTTCAAGAGTATTCAAGAATCTTATTTATTTTCTTAAAAATGCTCCTCCATCGGAAAGCTTAATCAATTTTATTTTATTTTTTGTTAAAATTTTATTTTTATTGAAAATATATTTAATTCTTTCACCATTTGAACCAAAATTAAAAATATTTTTCACCTAAAAATATTTTAGATAATCATCCATTGGTGATTACTAAGAATTTCATCATTGAAAATTTATTTTTATTTTTATTTGTATTTCTAAATATTTTATCATTTGAGTTTATTTAAAAACTTTTATTACAAGTTTAATTTCTAAATTTTTCATCATTTGAGTCTATCTAGAATTTAAACTTTAGATAGAAAATAATATGACAATTATTTTTTTTTTTTGAAGTTTCATTTAAATTATTCCACAATTTGAGACAAATTTAAAGAAATTTTTCATCTAAAAATTTCTAAAGCAATTTACTATTTGAAATTTCTAAGAATCTCATTATTGAATAATTGTCAAATATTTTTCCTCACATTTTTAAGTTATATTTTTTATTTGAAAAATAATACAATTGCTTTTATTGAAATTTCATCTAAACTATTTCACAATTTGAGACAAATTTAGAAAAATTTCTCATCTAGAGATTTTTTAAAAAATTTATCATTTGAAATTTTTAATAATCTCAACATTGGATAATTAATATTTAATTTCAAATTTTTATTAATTTTGTATTTTATTATTTTTTAAATTAAAAATAAATATTAATTATCATTATTAAAATTTTATCTAAATTAGTCCACAATTTTAGATAAATTTAAAAAAATTTCTTACCTAGGAATTTTATAGAAATTAACTTTTTGTAATTTCTAAAAATTCTATTATGGATAATTATTATTTATTCTAAAAAAATTACTAGTGTTTTATTTTTTATTTAATTTTTTAAATTTTTTATAAAATTTAATTATGTAAAAATACTTTAAAAATAAAAAATAAAAAATAAAAAATACTAAAACAGGAATCGACTCGGCTCAACTCAAGTGTGTGGCTTGACTGCGAAAAGAGAAAACAGATGAAACGACTCAGCTTACGGCTCGGCTTGGTTGGAGCCAATGGCTATAGAACACGGGTGAAAGACAGGTTTGCGTTACGGGTCAGATAAGCTTGAATAGAAACGCGCAGATCCTAGATTTGATAAAGGCAAAAACGACATTATTTCTGGATGTTATAAAATCCTAATTTTTCCTTTTTCCTTTAGATTTATTCTCCCATTCTCTTTCTTCTCCTCTTTTCTCTCCTTCTCTTTCTAGAAATCTATGAACAATCGTATGAACATTCATCGGTTTCAAGAATTGGTAGTCGAAAACTGGGTATCTTTATCGATTTCTAGATTTTTCTTCGAAATACTACTAAAAATTTTAATTTTTGTCAAAATCTTTTATCGAATTTTGAAAATCTCACTGAAAATTCAAACTTCATCAAAATCTTCATCGAAAACTAAAAAAGTCCACCAAAATCTGAAAATCTCATATTTTTCCAAAAAAAAAAGTTCTAATAAAAAATCACTACTTTCCTCTATGATTTTTGTGTATGCTTTTTGTTGATCTCTCTATATATCCTTCTTACGTAATTTGGGTTTGTATTTATAGGGATTTGATTATTAGAATCATAAATCAAAAAGAATTTTAATTGCACTTTAATTTCAATTATGATTTTAAACCAAATTTTATAATCCTAGAGAAACAATTTTATAACAACTCAATCACTTGAAATTTTTCCTAATTTTTGATTTCCTTTGGTTTTTTTTTATCTTTATTTTTAACAAAAAAAAAATTACAACTCCGGGTGTCTACAATGAATATGATCATGATTACAAATAAGGTCTTAATTAATTAATTAATTAAGGTAATTTATTTCAACATTTGGTGTTAAAAGAAGTATTAATTTGGACGTTGGATTTCAACTTAACCTTATATGTTATAAGGGTTTGATTTTTAAATCCAATCAGATTGGATCAGTTTTTTTTTTTTTTTTTTAATCAAGATCAAATAGAAGTAATTTTTAACAAAATATGTTCTGGCTTTCAAAATATTTCTAATTTATATTTAGTATAAATGATGGTAATGTTGGTATTAATAAATTAATGTATCATTAATATTAACATATATATATATATATATCCTTAAATAATATAAGTAGTAGGAAAAATGGGAGATATTGTAATTCATGAATCAAGATCATAGCTTATGACTTATATTTTTAGATTTTGAAATTAGAAGGATGAGAGAAGGGAGAACAAGGTTAAGGCTGGCCTTGATCAGAAATTATTAGAAGGTTAAGGAAAGAAGGCAAGAGATATTGTAAGCGATAATGGCAGTAGGTAATGACTTTGGTATTTCAAAAAATGATCAATTTCTTAATTCTTGTGCTATTCATATTAATTATAGAGAAATTTAAGTAATGGAATTGAAAATTGAAATCAACTTTAACTTAATTTGGCTGCTTCCAGTGCCATTTTTGACCCATAAAATTCAATAACTCAGAAAAGTGCTGTACAACAACTTATTGATTGCTGAATTTTCTTGCAATGACTTTTCCATTTTCTTTTAATCTGGGTTACTGATGTTGTCCTTATTAAGTTTATTTTGTTCTTATTGTCACTTTCAATTAAACTTCCGAGAATTGAATTAGAAGGCTCTGAAAATGGAAAAAAGCACACTTCTATTGATGATTTTGAAAGCTTTTTGTCCATCGTCAGCCTAGACGTCAATCGAAAAAAGTATTTTTTTAAGACAAAGCAGAAGAAAAGGCACATACAACTGCAAAGAACACCTGGGCTTTTCTTCAAACTGAATTCCATTTATTGGATGACTAATAAAAAACGTAGGCTATCAACTTGTTGATTTCTTGTGTTCATATTTGCTACCAAAAAGGCACACCCTAGGAAGAAATTTAACCCCCAAGAAAGCCCTCTTTATCAACATTTTCAAAAAGAATAAACTAATTTTTCTAAGGAGAACTAAACTCTATATATATGTTGCCTCCCCTCTCCATTCTTCAATTAACTCCAGAGTCTCTTGGATATTACAAGTTACATTAACAAAGATGGCAAAGCTAACAACCCAGCTCTTGGCATGCATTTTCTTCGTTGTTCTTGTCGTCTTGCATTCATGCCCAGCAACAGCTCAAGAAGTCGGTAAGTCAATCTTGGAGTTATTATCCCATGCATTTCTATATTTGCATTTTGCTTTCATCGTGAATATTCAGGATTAGTTTTCATTTCTTTTTCTTCTTGTTTGCAGAGGATGAAAGTGAGTTTGATTATAGTGAAACTAGTGGAAGAGGGCCAGCAAGATGGGGAGAGATTCATCCAGAATGGGCTGCATGTAGCAATGGAACAATGCAATCTCCGATTGATATGTCGAATGAAAGAGTTGAAATAGTGTCCCATTTAGGGAGGCTTAAAAGAAGCTACAATCCAAGCAATGCCACTCTAAGAAACAGAGGCCATGATATGATGGTAATGAAACTTATGGACATTTCTTTTTCCTTTTCGGTGGATGCACGCCAATGAATTTCATGTTAGCTACCTATATATAGCTTGAATATTTTTGAAGCCAGAGAAAAGCCCCATGTATTACCATGGCCCTACGTTCATATGTTATAATATGGATTTTACTAGTCTATGATTTTCAATTTAATTATTGTTAAACGTGATTTGAAAAGTTGTATTAGGTGAGATGTTACGGGCTGATCAAATAGGAAAGTATTCCATGTATTCCTTACTATTTTCTTCTCATATTAAAGATCATATTGCCATATTTTATCAAAACTTTTTCCCTAATTTAAGTCGATTTGTGTATGCAGTTGAGATGGGAAGGTGGAGCAGGAACTATAGAGATCAATGGTACTGAGTATGTACTCCAACAGTGCCATTGGCACTCACCTTCCGAACACACCATCAATGGCAGAAAGTAATATACTTTCTTTTCTCTTCCTTGATCATAGACCCAACAACAAGAATTAAAAAAAGAACAAATCGCTTGATCCCTTCAAATTAATACAATTTTTCAGGTATGCTCTAGAGGTGCACATGGTTCATGAAAGTGCAGATGGCCAGGTTGCCGTAGTAGGGATCATGTACAAGATTGGAAGACCCGATTCTTTCCTGTTATCAGTAAGTAAAAGAGTTGACCTATCCAAAATAACTATTTTCATTTCCGAATTCTTTTCTTGTGTTAATGATCTGATCATGTATGATTATCCCACTCATCTGCCTTGTTGGTTACCACAGTTGTCGGATCATTTAGCAACCGTTACTGATATCACGGAAGGAGAGAGAGTGGTAGGTGTGATCGATCCAAGGCACATAAAAATTGGCAGCAGAAAATATTACAGATACATTGGCTCTCTAACTGTTCCTCCTTGTCATGAAAATGTGGTGTGGAGCATTGTCAGAAAGGTTTGCTTAACCTACTAATTAACTCACTCAAATAATCTTTCTTAATTTTATATGACGTAACTTGTTTAACTGTTACCAACCCCTCTTTGATCAGGTGAGGACTGTAACCAGGGAGCAAGTGAGATTGCTTCGCGTGGCCGTTCACGATGTAAGTTTCTAAGTCTACTTTCTCAGAATTCTCAGGATTTGAACACTAATTATTGAAATTAAGAGTCAAAAACTCTATCAACAATCCGTGTTGGCCAAAAAGGAGATTGTCTTAAATGTTTAGTGTGTATAAAATTTATATCTGCATTAATGGAGAGGCTGATATATTTGTAATCTTGATCTTGCAGGATTCAGATACTAATGCAAGACCACCGCAGCCAATAAACAACCGATCAATTCAACTCTTTAGACCAGATGACAAGGAAAAGAATTAAAATCTTTATATAATATCACAGATTTAAATAAATATTTGATTATACGTTGATTTTTTTTGGAATATTTTATATCTTTTGAATTTTGCGAGCTTATGTATTTCGTCTTATTTGTATTATCATTCTACATTACTAGCACTGAGTTGATTGAATATACGTAGAATTCTTTGTTGCATGTTCAAAATTTTTATAGTCAATTATCAAATTTTATCTAGTTTAGTTTGGATCATAATTTTTTTTTCATATAATTGTGATTCCATCCACTTCATTTAAATATTTGAGTTCGAATCTTCTCAATTAAAAAATAATAGTTGATTTGATAAAATAATTACATCCTTTCAATTTTTTAAAACCTTTTTTTTAAATTTAATAATTTTAACAAAACTGTTTTTAAAATAGAAGGTAAAATGATTTTGGAACCAATGGTTTCCAAGTATATTCCCTCTTTGACATGTATACATTTTGTCAAATTAATTAAAAAAAAGATCTAAAATAAAAAATTGCTCCAAGGAACAACTATTGCTCATCATGGGTCAAAATCAATTTCCATTATAATATATCATCACTACAAAAATGTTGTGATGTACAATTGCTCCAAGGAACAGACCAATAGCCAGACTAGAATAGACTTAATTATGGAATATCCTTAACCTCATAAACAACAATTAGTAGAAACCAAGAACTGATGCTAAATCACCTAATATATTCTTGCCTTATTCTGTCAATAATTCAGATGGAATCTAATGACTAGGGTATTGTTCCCTGTTAATTGCAAGATCTTATTCATATCAAGACAATGAAACTGCCATGTAAGTTGTTTGTGGTTCATGATCTTTAAATAATGTGGAGCTTGTTGATAGTGACAGGCCAACATGTACGACAAAGGCCAAAGCCACTTTTGACCACCTTTGTCTTGATGTCTTGATTTTGTAAGTACATATCCTCAAAGCCATTTTTAGCACAAACATATCAACGAAATCGCATTGTCTGAAAACTTAGGTAAACTAGAAAGATGCTTAGAATTTCAAGATTTCATTGGCTAATGGGTTTTTTTGGGGAAAACATTTGATGATTATATCTGCAAGCTAGCATCAAGAAGATTAACAAACAAAAAATTAAATTCCTGGCAGAGAATAGAATGGTCGAATGCTTCTTGATCATTTTCTTATCATTATACCATTCTTCCAAGAACTTTGATGATGTCATCCATTGATGGCCTACGGAGAGGGTCATCCTCTATGCACGCTTTGGCTAAAACTGCTAAACATAAAGCTTCAGCTAGGAGATAATCCTCTTTCAGAGATGGATCAATGAAGCTCCTCAGTTGTTCAAAACAACCTCCTTCACTTGCTCCCCCTCCCAAAAATCCAATTGAGTCTTTCAACAAATTTCCTTCTGTGGCCTCTCTTCCAGAAATCAGCTCAAGCAAAACAACTCCAAATGCAAAAATATCCACCTTTTCAGAAGCTGATCCGTGCGCTGGGTACTCTGGAGCAACCCATCCATTGACAGTAACGATGTCGTCATTCATTCTCCGTAAGCTGACAGCAAGAGTTGATCCAATATTTGCTAGCTTTGCCCTCCACTTTGATGTTACAAAAATATTCCTGCTATTGACACTCAAATGAGCATAGGATGGGAAAATACAATAGTGTAAGTAGTGAAGACCGGTTGCTATATCAAAAGCTATTTGAGTCCTGCGACTCCAGTGGAGACGATTAGACTGATTTGATAAGCAGTCCCTTAAGCAACCATTTTTAGGGAGTTCAAAAATCAGATATGACCAGCAAAAGTCATTTTCACCGTAACCAACACCATGGAGATTCACAATATTAATGTGATTGATCTTAGAATGCATATCTATAACCTGGCGAGTGTCTTCAAATTTCATTTGCTTGATCATGACTTCAGCATTGTCAATCAACCCCTTGTAGACTTGCTCTCCAATCTTGTTATCTTCATTGAAGTCATTTGTTGCTTTTTTTATATCCTCAATGCCATAGTTGTACAAAGAAAATTTAATCCCAGCTAGAAGATCAGGCGATAAACATGAATTTGCAGAGCTTCTACCAGTTTGACCGGATCGAGGAGAGCTTCTACCAGTTTGGCCAGATAGAGGAGAGCTTCTGGCTGTTGAACATGAAAGTATAGAGTTTCTATCAGTAAAAGACTGTAGTTTCTCTCCCTTCCATTTCTTTAAGACCTTCACATACAATCCACAAACAAGCAATGCTACACCTACCAGGAAAAACCCAACAATTGATCCTGCAATATACAAGTTCCTCAATTTTGTATTCTTTCTTTTTTCAACTGTGATGGTGGGAAGAAAACGAGGAGTTGGAGGTGGAGAATCTGGGATAGTGAGATTTATTTTAGGATCTGATTTCAGAGGAACTAGAACAGTTGTGTTAGGAAAAATAGTTGACATAGATTCCAAATGATTGGCTGCCAATAAATCTTCAACAGAGATTCCAAATTTCTCACTTAGTGGAGTTGTTCCATCTCCTTCCAGAAGAGGGTATGTCACAAGATATTTTACTCTGCCAGCACCTGTAAAATTATCAGGACAGGCACATCTCAAAGGTACATTAAGCTGAACACCATTCTGGACATCATTCCCTTGAGATGGATTTTCCTGGAGCAGGGTTAAGGACTTCAACAGGCCTTCAAAAACTCCGCAAGCAATTTCCGAATATGATGTTCTCTCAGGGACTATGTAGCTTAAACTTGCCTGAAAGTATTGTCCAGAGCACAAACAATTTATAGGAACAAGTACTTCTCTACCTGGTTTGAGAGTTTCTAAAGGTGAAGCTATGTTGTTCAAGTCAAGCAACTCACCAGATTTCCTCCGAAACAAGGCAGAGATATTCAGCAGATTCTGGACTCCAAACTGTTGGTTGGCTCTGTAGACCAAGAATGTTTTGCATGACTGTTGATTAGAACTGCAGGTGTACCTTGAACCTGGATAACTCGTATTGGATAGACAAGCAGACGGGTCATAGTATTGTTGTGCAAAGCTTGAATTGGCGACGATCCAGATAAGAAACAAGAGATAAATCATTCTACCCGAACAAAGAAATGCTACATTCTGTCAAGTGTACAAAGCAACAAGGAATATCAAAGCCAATTCCTCAAGATATTCAAATAAAGACAATAATCAGATAGATACTACAATACTGCTCCCTCTAGGAAAGGGAGAATCAGGTGATTGAAAAAAAGAAAAATCCTTGCTCGATGTAATCTATCTGTAATCAATTTCTTCAGGTTAAATTCTTTTTGTTTTTCAAGCGGCATAACCCCACCCTGGCATATGTCAATATTCAAATCCTAGACTAGTAGCTTATAATTGAACAAAAAATATGCTGTGATCAAATTTGAAAGCGCCATCAACTGCCGGCCTAAGAAGAAGTGGCCAACTGGGAAATAATTAAAAGTAATACAATAACAAATTTTGGATCTTTTCTTCTTGTTGTTTACTGATCATGAACTTTCCAACACCAAAGCAGTCCATCCATTTTTGTTTTTCTTCAGATAAACGTCAAACTTAGGTGAATTGCATTAGATAGACCACCACCAATCTGCAGTTAGTTTCGCTTGAAAGTTCACCATTTCAGGTTTAAAATAATACTGGTTGGTTATTTCACTGATGTTTTGGTCTCTCGATTAGCCCGCTAAGGAACAGATTCAGATGGCTTTGCATCTTCAATGATTTGAGTGAAGTATCTAAAAGGGTTTTGACTAATTTTGTAGAACATGCCCTGAAAATCTTGAAATTGTTTGATGTCAATCTCCAACCTATCTATCAAATTGGAGTCAAAGCCAAAATTTTTTACTTGTAATAAAAAAACACCTCATAACTCTTTGTAATTCTCAAATGAAAATGTATATTATTAATTTAAAATTATATATGTGAATAAAAACCGAATATATAAAATTCAAGATTTATTTCAATTAGTTCAGTTAAATTTAAAAGATAATATTTAATAAATTTAAGTTATGGTTTTATTGTACTAAATAAAACAAATATTAAATGTACAAAAAAGAAAAAAACATTATGAACCCAGTTAGGATAATTATTATAATTTATAATCATAACATTAATTTTCCATAAACTTTAATGTACCTTTTAATAATAATTTCTAGATATCAAATGGGTCCAAATTCAAAGTGTAAAAAAGATATTTTAATTTGTTTAAAAGACCAAAAGAGCACCAAAACTTATTTTCTTTAAAACATTAGTATAACTCAATTGAATGTTAATTTTTTTTTTTCATAATTTATATATTTTACTTTATATACTCTAAAATTTTTTGTTTTTTAAAAGAACAAGTATTACCAAAAAGTAAAATCATAATGAATAAATACTTACAAAAAATTAATTAAACACAATGGTTTCATATAAAAATCAAAATATTCTTATTCTTTCAAATTCAATTCCTAAATATTTTATTTTTAATACAAATCATAACAAAAGAAATCTTGGAAAAATGAATAGTCTTGAACGGTCAAACGAACAGCATCGCAGCACACAAGGCATTCTAAGGTCAATTAAGTCTTAATGAGGAGCTTTGAAAGGTAACATTTTAATAGGATCGAGCGGAAGGATTCTTACGATCCATTATGATTCATTTAGATTAATGATGAAATTAATTGTTGTAGTTGTGACTGAAAAAAAATTATATTAGATTTGAAAATTTTAATAAAAAATATATGCTATATTTAATCAAATATAGCTCATTAATTTTTTATTGATGATTTTTTAAATTTAATTACACTTTCAATTGCTGAAAATTAATTACACCACATAAAAAATACAGTTGCATCCAAATTTGCTCTTAATATATTGGAAGAGGACCGCCGTCCCAATCCTTGAGACATTCGAGCAGCGGATCAATCAGCCTCCCCTCACACATTACAACAAATACTTTATCACATCCTCACCCGGTGATCTCACTTTCTCTCCTGTTTGAAACTCTGTACCTAACCCTCCTATACAAGGGGTAGGACCTGCATTCCTTGATCTTGTTTGGGATTGCTGGATTACCACTTTCAAAAGCAATTCTTGCACTTTCAACTTCCTTTGGCAAGACTGTCTTCAATTCCTCCTCAAAACAGCCGATTTTAAGAAAGATTGAAGCATTTGCGTTATTCAAATCATCATCGCTTGTCAAGGCATGTTTTACCAGGACTTGCCTCAGCTTTTGGATAAATTTAGAATTACTCCTATAATAATAATAGAAAAATATTTAATCATAACATATCAATAATCATAAAATCTATTAATAAAATGTTTAATTCTTAATTTTAATAATAAAAAATTAATTTTTGATAACTTCGAGTATAAAAAATAATTAATCATAACTTGATCCGATAAAATAAATCATTAAAATCACTTGATCATATAAAACATAAGATATCTTATTGTAGATTTAGTTAGAGTCTAAATCTTCTAAAAAGCTCAATATGTCATTTTGCAGTTAAATGAAAGCCTCAATTAGTGGCTTGTTTTGGTTCTCTTGAATTTATGTTCTCTTAAGATTTAAGGAGACAATGCTATTGCGTGCACTCAAGTTCATTTTAATAATAAAAAAATACGGACAGTTGTGATTTTGGGCCTTTACTATTTGAAAATTGGACCACAACTATATACTCTTTGGTCTTTCTTTTATTCGATGCAATTATAATACGATCAATTTCAATTGAAAGGTGACCCAGGCCCTTTTTACAAAATTATTCAGATTTCCGGGTTTATTTATTTATTGCTATTAAGGGTTTTAATTTTAAATCATTTAAAGTGCATCCAATTGGTTTCCAACATTAGTAAATGAGGGCTTATGATTAAACAAAGGAAGGTTTGACTAATGGCCAAAAATAAAATAAAATTCCAAATAATTCTACATCATCACAGCTTTATGCCCATACTAGACAAAATCAATAGAATTCTAAATATTTTGGTTCTAAATCCATATTCAGCAGTCCCCACATGCTTTATTTTGCAACATGAAAAGCAATATTATTGTTTTGTCATTCCAAAGTCATCCCATTTAAAAAAATTTGGACTGAAGCCATTAATTTTCAAAGTAGCTTATAATTCATAGAAGTATTAAATTGATTTTGAAACCTCATATGATACCAATGTTTGTTAATTTTGTTAGATCAGAAAGGCTAGCAGATTTTTCAGAATTTGAAACCAAAGCTGATGATTAAAGGTTTGAGTCTTTGACCAAACTTTCCCTTTTTTTTTATAACTCCAATTGTTATCCTCAAATTAAATATATATTTTTAGAATTGGAACTTTTCTAAACTACTTGGAAGATATGATCATATAGTGATATAGATATTTTACATATATAGGCCAGATGATTTTGTCGGCTATATTAGTTTTCAATGCATTTGGGTTACTATTCAATATTCTTAAATTTAAAGGGATTAAAATTAAAAATTTAATTTAATTAATTCATACTTTTATCTGACATTCGATAGATTTTTAATTTAAATGCTTTGTCATTATTTGATACGATCTTTTTTGAAAACAAAAAAAACATGATCTCAGTTGTAGCTTTTATTAATATCATATACCATTGACTTCTCACCTTTTAGGTTTTTTGTGTTTTTTTTTTTTTTCTTGGGAAGCAATCAATTTTGACAACTGCCAAATCCATTAAGGACCATGCCTCCATTGAGAAGGCTATTCATTTTGGTCACCATTGTTGCATGCATGACAACCTCTCCTCTCTCCTCCACCCCTTCTTAGCATTCAAACTTTGCAACTTTTCTTTTTCTCTACCATTTTCATTCACTTAAATGTTAGGTCATGGAGCATTGAAAGAGCCCCTTTCAAATTAAGTTTCCATCCACATCCAGGCATGCTTCCTGTCTTACAATTCAAGAAACCTAACCAATATCTTAACTACTTCAAATGAACATCTGTTTCATTAGGACACTCAAATCAATATACTTAACATTTCGAAGTCATCCAACTCAAAATTTCAAACCAACAACTCTGTTCAATAGTTAGTGGAGATTGAAATTGTTCAAATATGCTACAAAAGATCAGTCAAGAAAATAATAAGATTAATTAGTTAGAAAAAAAATCAATTGTAAAAAACACGTGTGAGGGATTGTCTAAGGGGGTCTATAAGAACACAAGCAGGAGATTATAAAAGATTGATATATATTTTGTCTTAATTCCAAGTCGTTTAAGTAGTTGTTTCCATTTACTAAGGGGGTCTTGTAAAAGAGAGAGGGGCTTTATCTTTTAGATGTAAAAGTTATTCTTCCCTACAAGAGAACATGCACAAGGGACCCAAGGCAATGGATCCTTTTGTATTTAACTCCTTTTAAGACCAACATTTATGTTTCCAACTTGATTCCCATGTAGAAAGAGAGGAAAAGAGAGGTTTTTAATTAATTACGGTGAGTGGGAGAGAAGAGAACCATCAAGTAAAAGAATCCCTACTGCTCCTTTTTGTGGGGTTGGACTCTCTTTTGTTGCCCTAAATTTGCCACACTTTCTGGGGCAAAGTCAACAAAAAAGTAGAAAGCAGGCTTTCCCAAGGGAACATCACCTCCTCATAGTGTCCCTAATTTTGTAGTATTTCATTTTAGGGCTATTGATCATAGCCTATAGAAGCTTAACAGCATGAATTATTACCACTTTTTTTTAAATTTTTATTTAACTATTAACTGATTTTTGTTCCTAATTGTTACATCAATATTAACAAAAAAATTTATTAAAACCCATTTTTAGTTATATGTAATATGCCATAGCAATTGTACATGCACATGCACCAAAAGCACACTAAAAAGAGACATAAAAAGGGAAATTTAAGCATGTGATATTATCTTTTTTTGCCCTGAAAGTAATTATTGATCAAAACTCCTATGATTTTATCTGGTTGTATTAAAGGTCAACATATCTCTTTGGCTAAGCTTGTGAGGTGTGGGTGGGACTCTCCACATGGGCTTTTCAGTGCTTGTGACGAAGGATATTATTTGACGGTAACAAGATCAGGCTCCACATGCATTTTTAATTGGCTTGGTTATAGTATAAATGGTGATAAAACTACATATATATGGTTGGCATTTGGGTCCATCAAACCCCACTTGATGTCTATCATATGGTTAATGAAAGGATCATGGCGTGCAGTGCCCTTTGATTTTGCCATTGGAGTCGAGCAATAAGTGAATCCATGGTCCAAAATTGCCATGAGTGGCCATTATTCCTCAAGCATGATAATGACCCTAGCCTTCCTTTTTTTTTTCTTCCCAATTCAAGATTAATAGTAAAATCAACTTTTTAAGCAGTTAGGTTTTTTATTTTTATATTATTTTTACTTAAAATTAAATCAAATTAAAATTTTTTTTGTATTTAAATCACAAACTTCTAATTTGAATGAGTGTTTACTCAACTATATATTACTCGAATAAAACTTTTCACAAAGTTCTTAATTATGGGTATTGATCAAACGAAAAGATGTTACAAAAAAATGTGGTTATAATCTGCTTTAAACTCAAAATTAAGTTAAACAAAAAGGGTTAGTACGATAATCAAAACATAACTCCAATGAATTGTTAGCTTAATGATAATGGAGTTGGCTTTAAAACTGACAATCTCGAATTCGAACCTCAGTCATACCCAACATATATACACCTACTCATGACCTAAACCTAAGGCTAGCTAATTTTTTTTCCGTAATTACTCAATTAGGTAGCAGTAGGTTACCAATATAAATAATGGGTTTTCTTGGAAGAAAGCAGGAAACGAGGCCGTAAACTTGTATAAGAAAAATGCATATGTTGCATTTATAACCTTTGCTAACATTTCTTTTTCCTTAACCCATAGATAGGATTTGTTTGGGAGATCACCCAATTCCATCGAAGTACATTAATAACTTAATTTGGTTAGGTACAAAAAAAAAAAAAATCTGGGCTTCTAGGAAGAAAGAAGAAAGAAGAAAATCAGACCATATATAAAATATTAAATTTCATCGCGAATATAGTGATTTCACAAAGATTTTTTTTCCCATTTCAGTTATTATATATATGTGAAAATTAAACTTTAAATCTTATTAAAAGGCAGGTTTGGAGGTTTGAAGCAAGTTTTTCCTGTTATAAATATAAATAATTATAATCTCGCATGGAGGTAAACATGATGAGGCAATCCCCACCATTCATCTATCCATCATAATGGGCCCAAGTAAGTTTTATTTTTTTCCAGCCTATGTCAAAAAAGTTGTACCGAATATAATTGCTTATGAGTAATTATAATTTTTCGAAAGTGACTTCAAACGTATATATAATTAAATTTGATAATTTAAAATATAATAATTAATACAATATAAATACGATATAACAAAAGATACAAAAGTAAAAATGATTTAAAATTTAATAATTATAAATAAATTTAATAAAATAAAAAAAATATTTTATATTTTTATATTAATATGTAATTTTTATATAAAATATAATATAAATATATAATTTTAAATATTTTAAATAATATAAATATACGAATCATCATGTACAACCCACAAAAACAACCAAGTATAAACCGAAATAGACTTTAGATTGGGTAAAATGAAGGAGAGTCTGTAATATCCTTTAATGGCTAGAAGTTAAGTTTTTGTCCTATATATATATCCAACATATTTATGTTAGTTTGAATATATAGCCAACCCAAGTGGCTACATATTTATGTTGGTTTGAATATTTAGCCAACCCAAGTAGGATGAGCAAATTGACCCTCTTTACGTATATATTTATGAGGAAAAACTATTTGGTAAGACTTTCATCTCTCCCCTTATCTTGCCATTGTTGAGTCGGTTGGCTTAGCTATTTAGATTACTTGGGGAAAAAAAATTCATACCAACCATCGTTCTTTTTTATTATAATTTTACGATTATTCAATCTCAAATACAAAATTTTTAACATGATAAATGTATTTTATAAATTATTTTAAAAAATTTTAAATTTAATAAATTATATTTGATATGAAATACATAAAAATAAAAATAAAAATAAATTATTTTTGTTATAGAGAATTTTTTTTTATCCACGTAAAAAAATATAATCTAGAAGGATGAAATTGTAATCAAGACTATCCATTATCCAACAATTTTAAATGATTTTTAAAGTGAAACGAATGGATGAATTGGAAGAAGCCTTGATTTTGGTATGATGGAGCTATCGTACCAAAAAAAAACCCCATTGGACAAGTAGAAGTGTTGGATTTGGCTTTTCCAAAAAGGAATCAACTGGTCAAAACACTAATTGAGCAGTAAATGCTGAACATGTGCTCTGATTTTGAGTTTTTTGACTAATCATGTTTCTCGAAACCAACCAAGACAAAGCAGCATTCTTTTATCGAGTAAATTGATTAAAGCATTTCCTTGGTAAGCTGAGAAAATGACTGGTAGATATCAAAGACAGACATTTTTTTTCTCTAAAATTTTTTTAATAATATATGAGACAATAACTTCAAAAAATACAAATATTAAAACTTAAAATTATTTTAAATTATTTTTTAAAATAATTATATAAATTAATTAAATTAAAATTTAACAATTTTGATTAACGAGGTTATAAAGTATTTTTGACTTGAATTTATTTATGATAAATACAATAATTCAATTACACCAAAATAGTATTAAAAGTATGTTAAATAGATTTAGAATTTGGATAAAAAATAAAATTCATATTCATAGCATGAATTTATCATGCATAATATAACATTTATATGACATAAAATAAAACATTACATAAAAAAAAAAAGAAGTAAAGGACATATAATAAGGCAAGAAAATGCGTGAAATGGCCAGCACTAAGAGTGGCAATGATGAAAACAAGGTTAAAGTTAAGGGCAATTCTCAAAAGCAGAACTTCAAAAATAATTGTAAGAAAAAACAATAAAATAAAATAAAAATTATTTGCAGTAAATGTGACAATGACCTATTCAACAGCAGCTCCATTCCATTTCCAAATCAGATTAAAAAAAAAAAAAAAGCCCCTAAACAAGGCTGCTAAATCTCTGATCCAATATCGTAAACCCAATTGGTCAAAAGCATACCTTTCTCTCTCTTTCTCTAATTAACCTTACTTGTAATGTAATTCACTCCAAACCTCAAGCAAATGTTTTCTTCCTTTTTCTTCTTGCAACAGCTACAACAACAACAAAAATACCCTTATTTCTTTTCAATCAAAATGCTGCCTTTGCCTAACAATATCTCTGCTTTTCCAACATCCTGAAAACCAAAAAAAGAGTCGGCTTTTACTACAAAGGAGAGATCTTGAAACTGAAAAAGGAGAACCCAAAGTTTTATATCATGGGTAGTAAATGGAGGAAAGCAAAGTTGGCTCTTGGCATGAACATGTGTTTATATGTTCCTCATGAAAAGCTTGAAGATTCATTACCACCATCATCATCATCATCATCCATTAAGCATCCTCATAATGCTGCTAATGTTCCTTCAAGGTTTTCTTCAGATGCTGTTCCTCTGTCTCCAGTTTCTCCTTCAGGCAACGAGTGCCGCCCCACAACTCCTACCCCTTCCTCTTCCGGGCTCCGGTTGTCCAAATCCAGCTCAAAATCTTCCAAGGTCCACATTTTTCCAGTTTTCTTACCAAACTCACTTTTCTTTAAACTTTTGAATGTGGATAAAGTTGAAATCTTTTCTATCTTTTTTAGATCTTCTAAAGTTGGTTTTCTTGCTTATTTTGGTTGATTTTTTTATTTGCAATTATTGGTGTTTTGTGGTTTTTATTTTTTTTCTCCCTTGCTGGATCTTAGAGGAGATTCTGGTTTTTTTAATAAGCTTAATCTAAAACTTAATTTCTTTTAATCTTGAATGATAGTGGGTTTTATGTGAAAGGTGAATAAATTTTTACTATTTTAATTCAAATTACTGTTAGTGTCAGTTGTGTTCTTTGCCTACATTTTTTTGTTTTTTTTTATCTAATCTTCATCTTCAATAATGGGATTCAAATTCAATGTATGAAATGTGAAGGTTGGTGTGGGGATAAAATATTATACTAATAAAAAGAACTACTATTAATGTTGTCAAGCTTTAATTTATTTTATTTTCTGTAGATATGTGATTTTTACCTATATAAATCTCTACCTGGTTTCAAATTTCAAGGCTTCTTATCATGTGGGGTAGGGGTGGTGGGGGATTGTGTTGTGATAGTGTGCTGATGCTGAAATTTCTGAAGATGGGTAGTTGGTGTTGTGTTGTCTTCAACTCTCCCGTAAGGCCATAGGGAGGCAATGTGAGGATAAAGTGGACTAGACCCTTTAAGGACCATTGCCCATTGGCTTTAGAAAAGGAATACAATACCCTGCTGTATGCTGTACTCTCTTTCTCTCTCCCCCTTTCTTTGTCCTTCACTTTCACCTTGATGGAAAAGTGCTTTGCACAAGTTTTTCTATCTCTACTTTCGATGATAATTTTGTAAACGGCTGTGAACCGTTGATAGTGAGCTTTTTCTCTAATAAGCTTCAGCAAGAAAAAAAAAATAATGGCAAATGGAGATTGAAAATAAAAATTTTAGGCCAAACCCCATCATTTCCACTTCTTTCGAAGAACTTTGTATTTTTTTAATTTCTTTTTTGGGTTATTTGGTTTGAAAGGTTCATCATTAGTTTGAGACGGTTGTTTGATCATTCTTACTTTTGAAGGTCACCCCTTAGTTTTTTGTTGAATTCTTTATATGTCCTATTTAATGCTTTGACTATTTACAATTGACCTATTTTTATGGTGTGTTAGCTTTAGTTTCTTAGCAATTTCAATGTAGCCGTTAACCCTATCTAAAATCAAGTGTGGTTTATCATGTGGATAGGTTGCATTCTATTTCTTCTTTTCATGCGCCAGTCTCAATAATAGAGCTGTATAGTGACAGAAAGAGTCAGTGATGGGCACTATACTGACCTTTTGAAATTTCACATTTATCCAGAAACACTAGATTATTTACTATGTAAAGGTAATTGTTAGGTGTTAGGTTTCAAGTGAGTTAGATATGGATTTGAAACCAGAATAGAGAAATTATATCTGTTAAGACTAGAAAATATGACTCTGAATTCTTCTAGAAGCTATCTGCAACTTTGATGCCCATGAATTGCAACTAGCTCCTTTTGTCCTTTTTTAAATTCTGTAGCACTTGGGGAATAAGAAATTTGTTGATAAGTGCCTAATGGTTTTAGTTATGGTGCTATTTGGGAAATGTTTTTGTAATTTGATGCACCCTTTATACTAAATTCACAAAAATCTTTGTACAAATAACATCTTGGCTAGTGCTGTCAGGCGCTTAATTACTTTTTCCTTTCTAAAATCCCTCCATGGTATGAATATTTGATATATAAGATTATCTGATATATTGGTTGCAGCTGCTATGATTTATCAAAAGGGGGAAAACATCAATTGCTCAGCTGTGATTTTGTTTCATGTGAAGCCACATTGTAATCTTTGAGTATTCTTTTTGGTTGTTAATCCATCTTTCGGAATCAACATACATTATGGTGAATTAAATGATATAAAGAGTGATATTCTTTTCCTATTTGTGACCGTTTTCTAGCTTCCTTGAGCAGCTGGAGTTTTGGAATACTGCAGATTGTCTTCTCTAGGATCCGTTTTTTGTTTAGGGAAGGGGATGTTAAAATTTATCAGTCATTTAGTATAGTAATTGCTTTAAATCTTTGCTTTAGCTACCTTATTTTACTTCAGACGTGGTTCGTATTATTTTCTCACCTACCTGTCCTTCCAAACTGCAGAGAACCTGTTCAATATGCCTGACAACAATGAAACCAGGTCCAGGCCAGGCTATTTTCACAGCAGAATGCTCCCATTCTTTCCACTTTCAATGTATAACTTCTAATGTGAAACATGGAAATCAGATTTGTCCAGTCTGCAGAGCAAAATGGAAGGAAATCCCCTTTCAGAGCTCTACTTCTGATCTTCCCAACGGAAGATATAGAATCAACCCCGCGGATTGGCCTGGGGATGATGCCTGGATGACTGTCGTACGAGGGATACCTTCCCCTCGGTTAGATTCAACTAGGCAGATTTCTTCTCTTTTCCATGCTTCTGAGCCAGGAACCTTTGATGATGATGAAGTCCTAGATCAGCAGCATGAGACTACTGAAGAAAATGTCTTGGCTAAGGATTCTACCAAGAAAAATTCTATTGGAGCAATAGAAGTTAAAATGTATCCAGAAGTTTCAGCCGTTCCAAAAGCAACCTGTCATAATAATTTTGCCATATTAATCCATCTCAAGGCTCCCCATACAAGTGGAGGGCAAAATGCCAGAAATCAAACTATATTTCCCTCCACAACTCAAAATTCTCGTGCCCCAGTTGACCTTGTCACTGTTCTTGATGTTAGTGGCAGCATGGCTGGTACCAAGCTTGCGTTGCTAAAACGAGCTATGGGGTTTGTCATTCAGCATCTTGGACCCTCTGACCGGCTTTCTATTATAGCATTCTCCTCCACAGCCCGTCGCCTCTTTCCTCTTCGCCAGATGACTGAGACTGGACGGCAGGAAGCGTTGCAGGCTGTTAACTCTCTTACTTCAAATGGTGGGACAAATATTGCTGAAGGGCTTAGGAAAGGTGCCAAGGTGATAGTAGATCGCAAGTGGAAGAACCCAGTTGGAAGTATCATCTTATTATCGGATGGGCAGGATACTTACACATTTACAAGTCCTAATGGAGCTCATTTCAGGGCAGATTACAAATCACTTCTTCCTATCTCAATTGATCACAATGGTGGGGCAGGTCACCGTATCCCTGTGCATACCTTTGGGTTTGGTGCAGATCATGATGCTGCTTCAATGCATTCAATTTCTGAGATATCTGGGGGTACATTTTCTTTCATAGAAGCTGAGGGTGTCATCCAAGATGCGTTTGCCCAATGCATTGGAGGGCTTTTAAGTGTGGTAGTGCAGGAGGCATCTGTTAAAGTTGAGTGTGCTCACTCAAATTTGCTAATTAATTCGGTAAAGGCTGGGAGTTATCGAACTAGCATGATGGCTGATGCAAAAACAGGTTTTATTGATGTAGGTGACTTGTATGCTGAAGAAGAAAGAGATTTTTTGGTGACCGTCAATGTTCCAGTTGATGAATCCTGTGATGAGATGTCATTGCTGAAAGTTAGATGTATTTACAGAGATGCCATATCAAAAGAGATGGTGTCTTTGGAAGAAGCTGATGAAGTCAAGATCCTGAGGCCCACAATAATTGGACAACCAGTAGTATCAATGGAAGTAGACAGGCAGCGGAGCAGGCTCCGCGTGGCGGAGGCAATGGCCGAGGCTAGAGCTGCTGCTGAACGTCGTGATCTAACTAGTGCTGTCTCTCTGCTTGAGAGTTGTCGCAGGGCTTTATCAGAAACCATTTGTGCACGGGCTGGTGATAGGTTATGTGTCGCACTATGTGCTGAGCTAAAGGAGATGCAAGAAAGAATGGCAAACCGTCGAGTGTATGAGTCATCTGGAAGGGCTTATGTGTTGTCAGGTTTGAGCTCACATTCCTGGCAGAGAGCAACTGCACGGGGTGATTCCACCAATAGTACAAGCCTAGTTCAAGCATACCAGACCCCTACCATGACAGACATGGTGACCCGTTCTCAGACCATGTTCTTTGGGAACCCTCCACAACGAAAGCTTCGACAAGCTCAGTCATTTCCAGGCCGTCCAAAGCCAAGGTAATCTTTGGCGAAATCTTCGAAAATTCTACTCTCCTTACATTCATCTTTGTGGCTTGGGAAGTGGGGTATAAATTGGAGTAGCACAAAAAGGGCTCGGTATTTTTAACTGGGGGGTATATTTTCTTATTCTGATAAGTAAATTAATAAAAATTGGAGACAATTGAAATGACTGGTTTGAGAGGGAGATAAGGGGAAATCCGGAAGTGAGGTGTTTACATATTTTGATGATGGACAATGGAGCATCGTACATAGGGAGCAATGTATTTTTTTTTTATCCTAGAAAAAAGGTATAGCCATGTAATTGTGGGATACTTGGGCTGAATTCGTCACTCAAATATATGGTATGGTATATCTGCTTTTGATTCTTTTTTCACGACTTTTGTCTAATACTCTTGGGAATTTGCTGGTAAACCAAAGTACGCTAAGCATATGCTTTATTCTTATGTAATCGAATATGTCGCTGGTGCAAAAGATATTGTAACATTTCTACAAGGTTGTTCCGTTTTGTCCAGCAACTCCGTTATGACTTCACACCAATGTACGAGAAAGATCTATTTTGTGTGGTATCCCTCCATCACTGGATATTTTTTGTCACTCTATTCTTCAGCAAGTGCGTCAGGTTGGTAGGCCTATAAGTTTACTCACTAGATTTTTAAGTTCATCAACTAAGAAATACAATCAGTCTATCAATGGCTAAATCTGAATTCTTTTTGATAAGGATGAAAATGCCATGAAAATAAGTGCTCTCGGGTGACGATGAAAATATCTTGTACTGCATTAATGGCAGCAATGTCTTTTACTGGATTTCACTCGGAAATTGTAAATGCATTTTGCAGTTGCTTTAGTTTTGGAGATACTGACAACACATCAATCCTCAGGTTTATACCATTAAAGACACTATATTAAGCTTCAAATTTAAATGTCGATCTCTGTATCTAGTGTTAAATGGCTGCATGTGTGGGATTTGTTTTGTTTTGCTTGGGCCAAATAAACTACAGGCCCTGGCAATGGCATCTGGTCCCAGGAACAACAAATACGCCAGAGCATTGATCGTTAGTGAATGTTATGCCACCATCTGGAGCTCGAGTTTTTGATCCCAGTTTCAGCCCAGTAAAACTTAAATTGCACTGCAGTAAGTACAAGTCATTTTCCTCGCAGGTTGTCAGGATGTAACTTAATTAATAGCCATATATCCTTGACAGCTTGGATGGATGAAATCTCATTCCCCATTAAAAAAAAAGGATCAAAATTCTAATCAGGTGCATATAGGGGGACATGAAAATCAATAATGAGAAGTCTAACCAATCTGCAGCTGTAACATGTTCCCAATCAGAATCGTCGATATGTTTGAAACACACATCAGTAATCCATTTCGTGCCATATAAAAAAAAGAAACGTGAGAACAACTTGTGAAACTTTCATCCAGTTAATGTCTAACAATCTAAGACCGTAGGTGTATGTATATACATATCAAGTGGCTAGAGAAAATTAAAAAAGAAATGGTATGTTATACATCAAAGAAGTGTCGCTCATGCATTGATCCATGCATAGAATTTAAAGATCTTTGTGGCTTCCATAATATGGCTGTAGCTTCCAAGATACGAGGGGCCATGAATTTAATTTCTAGCAGAGCAGGGCTCTCCCTTGCTGCTGTACCATCATATAACATTGAGCTGGTCTCATCCTCATGGTACGGGGCAAGATCTCGCTGGCTTGTCGGATAAACTCTAATAAAGTTTTCCAAGTAATCCTCGTGATTTGTTAAAGAAAAATATATGGTTGGTGAGCTTAAGCTAGCAATAATGTGTGAACTGATTGAAATGGCAGGATTTTATAGAGGAACAAAGGAGAAGAGAACACAGTTGTTTGAAATTTCTGGAAACTTTCTGCACCATCACAAAGAAAGGGAGACCAAACCCTGTTACAAAAACTGCTTCAACCTTGATTTAAATGGTGAATTTCTTCAGCTTCATTCAATTTTTCAAGATGATGTGGGGTAAGCTTATCCAAATGAATAATAATATTCAGGATTCATGGTACCAACACTCTATTGTTAATTCCATTAATAAATTTCTTTGTCTTAATTGGAATACAGATGAAAAACTTTTAGATTAATTTGTTTGTCAGTTTCTACACAAATGTCCAATTTCAACCATTGACCAATACCATTTTCACGTGAGTGATGAATTGATGATTAAATGGAAATTTTATTCCTAACAATTAAAAGTGGATAATTAGTGGAAAGCACAATTTTTTTCTTGAGTTGTTTTTCTTGTCAATTAAAATTTGATTACCTAAGAAGGAAATTGAGATGATAGAATAATTGCTTATTTCATATTTTCTTTTCTTAGAGATTATTAGTATAATATAATCATTTAAAAACAAATATTGCCTTTTATCTAGTCATTGTGCAACTTAGATACAAATCATACCATTATTAATTAAATTAAGAGAAATTATATTGGCCAAAAAATTTGAGAAAATTTATTTTTATAAAAAAAATCCTTTAATTGAAGTTTATATGCACTAATTAAAAATTATTTAATTATTATTTTAAAAAATTATATTATAATATATTATTTTTATCAAATTCAAAAAATATTTTATTAATTATATTTTTTAATTTGACTTTAATCAATGCCATTACATACCAGTTAACAATTTGGTTTTTAAAATGCTTTACTTTGAATAAGGATGAAATACATTTTTGCAATGGTCGTCCCGAAAAAGACAGAAAATGAAACTTCTATTACCAAACATTTTGCTGCTGTAACACCGAAACATCGTACATCACCGGACAATACATGTCAAGATTCCATCGTCATGCTTATCTAACGTAGTCAACTCCTCCGATCTTGCAAAAAAAAAAGTCAAATAAATAAAAACAAAAGACAATAATAGTAATAAATGAATTGAAAAGTACATTAACTGACAGAACCCTCTTCTCCTTTCTCTTTTCTGAGTTTCTTTTTAAAGCCTTTGGACAAACTCATATGGTTAATGGTTCTGTTTCCCTGTCTTTCCATTCCTATTAATAATTTGATTATTTAAAAATTCGGCACAGTAAAACAACATAATATTATTTGACATGGTTTGGACTTATGCTCTCTGTAGCGGTTTCTCTAGGCTTTTGCTAGCAACTGGCAATGCTATTACCTGTATATTGGAATCAGTACAAAGATCTAACTTCTGTCTATTTAGAATCATGTTCCATTTAGCTTTGTTTTGTTGTCGTGTTCAATATTTTATCTTCCATTCTTCTGCAAGATTAATCTTGCTGAGCAAATTTCCAAATGGTGTGAATAGTGAATCCAAGACTTTTTCGCCATTTATTTACTGCTTCTTCTGGCTTGGAGTTAGGGTATCAAAATCTTAAGTTTTTGGTGTTTGTTTTTATTTGATATATACAACAAAAAAAATACAGATAACGTATGGCTATATGATATATTTTCCCTGCTTCAACTCATACTGACTTTATGGAATCAAACAATTTTCTATGGTGGTCTGAAAGGAGCCCATCATGAAGATTTAAATAAAGAAGTTGGTCACATGTTTTGACCACCTTTTTTGGCCTAAAAAGGGTAGAGGAAGGGAATGGTCTGTGCCAGTGCCATTGGTCATATGATTCCTGGTTCAAGATGCCATTGAAGAGCCTTTTCAGCTCTTGTGGGCTGTGGCTTTGAGTTCTTGCGACTTGCCGGCCGGCCCTGTGTGAACTTCTTTGCCTTTCTGTCTTGTCCTTTTACAGATCAAAACTAATAACTGAAACGATGGCAACAACATGGGTTATGGTAATTCAAGATCTGTAAGGTTTGTTCCACCTTTGTTCTTTAATGTCTCTATTAGGATTTCTTCTATTCCCATTGATCTGCTTTTACATAAGTTAATCGTTCAAACCAGCAATGGAACAATCATTGATTAGTGGCTTCATTATGTATATTTTCAGAGTTCAAGATGATGTTGAATTAGCAAAGCTCCCCACAATTAATGGAGATGGTATGATAAAGCTGAAATATAATATTGATGGAAAGCTAATATCGGAGTCTAGCTCCAAGAAGGCTGAGAAGGAGTTGCCTAGTAGGAGGACAGGAAAATTCTTAAAAGCTAAAATACTGTCCAGAGTTTTCTCCGAGGACTTTGAGACAGTGAAGAAGAAGATTTTGGATCCTCGAGGGCCAATCATTCGCCGATGGAACAAGATTTTTCTAGTAGCATGCTTAGTTTCTTTGTTTGTGGATCCTCTCTTCTTTTATTTGCCAGTAGTTTGGGAGGAACTCTGCATTGATATTGGAATACCACTTGAAGTTGTCCTCACTATAGTTAGATCATTGGCTGATGCCTTCTACATAATTCAGATTTTCATTCGATTTCGGACAGCTTACATTGCACCTCCTTCTCGTGTATTTGGGAGAGGAGAGCTTGTTATAGATTCCAGGAAGATTGCTTCCAGGTACCTTCAGAAGAGTTTCTGGATTGATTTAATTGCTGCCCTCCGCCTTCCTCAGGTATCTTATAATGAAAGTGATATATATTTGTTCTTTTCATAGCATTTTAATGATTTAATATGTGTAAAATTATGGCATTAATTTGTTTCATTTTTACTCCGGGTTTTGATTTGGATTATCATTCCCAATCTTAGAGGTTCAACAATGACAGACACCAAAAACGGGCTCCGATTCATAATAATTTTTCAGTACCTTCCCAGACTTTTCCTTATGTTTCCACTCTCATCACAAATTGTCAAGGCCACTGGTGTTGTGACAGAAACAGTGTCACGGACTAAGCTTTCTCTCAACAAGCACTAGCTCATGCGGCACTTGAATGGACGCTTCCACCCAAGTCAGCCTTCAATAGATCGATATATGAACAAGTAACCATAAACCATGGTTAGTCTCAAGCATTCACAATAAGACACAATATATCGAGGTCAATCTCAAGCATACACACACACAACAAGGCACATTCACATCGAGAAAGAAAGAAACGCATCGAGGCAACAATCGGGCATTCAATCGAGGTGAATTTTATTATAAACGGGAATCATACATCGGGACCTCCCACCATCACCAGGGCCAGGGGGGCAGCGCTTGGTGGGTGGCCTAAGCTCGCATAGCACCAGGTGAGACAGCCCAACACTACACTGCCGGCTCACCCCCCCTAAAGAGCCTTAGAGATTTTAGAGCTATGCTACCAGTAACCGTTACAATGTTTGAAATGGGGACACTTTTCCTAGCACAAGGGATCTACCCGGCCATGGCCCTATACATGGGTGGCTCATGGCAACCTAAGTCCCAGTCATGGCCCTATACAAGGTTGGCTCATGACATCCTCCCCCCACCTATTCTATCGACATCCTCGTCGACTTGCTGGCTTGAAATTCTTCAATCTTCCTTTGAAATCTCTGGAGGTCGTGCTCTCTCTCCCAGCTGGTTTCTTCTAGTCCTAATCCCTCCCACTTCACTAAGTACTCCCGAACTAGTCTTCGAGATATCTTGGTTTCCCTGTCAGCTAAGATCTCCTCAACTCGACGCTTTGAAGGTGGCTTCATGGTGATGGCGGCTCTGGTTGGCTCCCTTCGGCTAGCATCTATAGGATCTGCATGGAAAGGTTTCAGGTTGCTCACATGAAATACTGGGTGCACTTTCATCCACTTTGGTGGGTCAATTTTGTAAGAAGCATTCCCCACCTTGGAAAGGACCCTTACTGGACCTTTATATTTGCGCACCAATCTACGATCTCTCTTTCTCAGGAACCTGATTTGTTCAGGAACTAGTCGGACAAGAACCAAATCACCAGCTTGAAATTGTTGAGCTCTACGATCCTTGTCTGCCCATTTCTTCATCCGCTTTGATGCTTTCTCCA